AGTGCATCGCTACTAGTAACAATGGCCTTACTACTAGTAGCAAGAAGCTACTAGTAGCTCCTGGCATTACTACTAGGAACAAATAGCTACTAGTATAGAGTGCATCGCTACTAGTAGCAATGGCATTACGACTAGTAGCAAGAAGCTACTACAGCACCCGGCCCTGGTTGATTTTGGGAATCCCTAGGGCCAAAAACAAAATGGACGACTTAGGCATGTGAATCGATCCGGTGACATGAGTGGTTACTGGTGTTGATTGAGCACCCACTTATCAGCGATCCTCCAGTGTCAGAAGACTTTTAGGCCATGTGATTTCTTGGACGATGTGTCCGAAGAAAGTTCGGTCCACACACGGCCGCAATTGCTTGCACTTGCTCTCGAGCGCAGCGAGCTCTCAGCGCTGAAACCAATTTTGCAAGTTCCAAAAAGCAAGTTGCACAGTGCCTTCTGGCCTTGGAGGGCCTTCTTGTCTTAGCAGGGGCTTCTTACGAACGAATGCTTCTTTTTTTGGTCTTGTTTGCTTGCCTCTGTCTTTTAGCAAGCGACGTCCAAGACCGCTTTTCTTTTCCGAATGAAAAAGGAGAACAAAAGGACTGCCGCCGCTCACTGCGTCCTTTTGCGGGACTCTTACGCCAGCGCTTCAATGGTTTTCTCCAAGGAGAAGGAAATCACATTGTGAGGAACTGTTGACTCCAGAGAGGGAAATGTCAAAGCCAAGGCATTGTTTTCACTGGACCTTGGATCGGTCATAGATGTCGTGGACCGCTTAACTTATAATATATATATATACAGCCAGAAATATAGAACACTGCTTCTTGGTATGATGAAGTTCTCTGTTATACAAGAAACTGGATTGCCATGACAAGCCAAATCGAAAAATGTCCAAAGTCAACAAGGACAACAGAAGGACACAATCAACCATTCGGACAGATTTCACATACAGAAAAGATAGAAAAAGAAAACCATCTCGGGCATTGCAAAACTGATCAAAACTGTAGGTTTCGCTGGGCATCCCCAGAATTGCCACAAAGCCATGCTTGTAGGGCAGGAACAAAGCAGCAAACAGGGAGTGCGGTCTGATGGTCCCTTCCAGCGGCACTGACAAAACCGCCCGACCCTCAGGGACCTTGGAATGCATGGCTTCACAAAAATAGTAAACTTCAAACATCGATCTCTTTCTGGCGATTGCCATGTTACAGCCCTTTCCCAAACAACAATCGCACACGAATGCTTTCAGGAATCGAACAATATACACTAGATGCTCTGACGTTAGCGTCTCAACATAAATATTATATATATATATATGTATACATATTATATATATAATATGGACAGATATGTAAAGTTTGGGAGATCGTGTCTGGCTGATTCTAATTGAACAACATGGTGCAAATCTATATATGTGAGTGAGTTGCGCTAGGGCCAGTTCTGCTCACTGTATCTGAATCATCACATCAAGGATCATCAAGGTGATACTGCGTCAAGGGGCTTTCACAACATTGATGCATCCACGATCCTCTGTCATACCGACGAGCACAGAGTCGCTAACGAAGGCCTCACATCTCCAGCAACTCTACTGACATCCTTTTACTAGAGGCACATCAAAACGGTCAAAACACCACGTCTTTTTGCCACAAGCAATATCGTTTGAGGCGGGCTGCGACATTGTAATTTCCGTACAAGTCAAGAGCGCGGTGCTCTGCCTGATCCCAAAGAAGCACTTCCTCCTGGGCACGTTCGGCGAAGGTTGAGTTCTGGAAACTAGTGTGAGGAAAAAGATGTAGTGGCAAAGGATGAGAGGTCGAAAGTTCTCACCCTCACAAACATTCTAGCTGACCTGACAGAAGGCGGCTAAGGAGTCCAAGGCTCGTAGTTCGGTTCACGAGTTGCTGTTACAATCCAGGATCCATCTGGTGAGAAAAGAGCACCGGTGAAGTATCCATCGGTCAAGCCCAGTCTTTGCAAGCAACTGCTGTTACTCACTTGCCACACAGTTGCAGTTCCGTCCATATCGCAGGCTCCACCAGCAACGATGCGAAGGCCATCTGGTGAAAATGCACAAACCTCAAAACAACTGGGTGCCTCAAATATGCAAGCCTTCGACTGTAGGTCCCATATTTTTAGCACGTGCTGGGAATCATCAATCACAGCAAGCTGGCTGCCATCTTCAGTGAAGTCCATCAGTTTGGGGCTTGGTGAAGCTGACCTTCCAGACTTCATTTCGACAACCAGCTGCTCCTTCAGCTCTCCAGATATTACATCCCAAACTTGGACAGTATCCAGGGTTTTGATTGCAATTTGATTCGTTTTCCTAGCAAAAGCCATGGACAGGACTGAAGAGCTCTCCGAGGTGCTCTCTTTCAGCATTTGGGGCTCTGTGCCGATGCTCAATAACCAGATGCTCTGCGCACTAGCCACGAAACGAGGCCCAGGCACGAACAGGACTGAGATTTCCTTGGACCAACAAGACATGGCAGGACAATAGATGATCAAAGGATATCAAAGGATATCAAAGGCGTGTAACTTCCTTGGCTTTGACAAAAAGCTGAGCCATCCAAGCTGCAATGTCCTCGCCTGCTCCTGCCAGCTGCCCCACGGTCCCGGAGGAAAGTTCTTGATTGTGGCGCAACAAATGCAATACGAATGTGTCTCTGTTCAGCACTTGTGCGCTGGCAACATACAAGTCATCGATGGAGGCAGTTGCTTGCAGCTTGACAACCGCCAAATGGTCTCCAGTCACAGCATGACAAAGACTCACATGCAACATGAGCTACTGAATGTGCTGGCCGAGAAGAAAGTGAACGCATTGCAGTTGTTTGCACACCACCAATTGATGCTTCTTTCATCTCGTGCTTTTACCTGCTCCATACTTTACAGGCTAAAAGCAAAAGACGATTGAATGCCACTAGTTCCTTCATTTGAGGCCACACTGACATATTGTAGGTCCAGCATTATGAACACTACGTCACTACAAGGAATTCCTTGCCAATTACGAGTTATTTTGAGGCTCTGGACATCTGTGGACCTGTTTTGTGCTCCAAGACCGTCAAACCACCTGAAACCACTGTATGCTGATTAATATATTATATCCTGAATATTCTGGATGTATCAATGATGTATGAACCTTCTGGACTGAGGCCGTTTGGTTTCAGGTAAGTGACTTCAGTCTAAACTCGACTTGAGAAATCAAAGAGAAGTAGCAAGTCCAACTGCACACGTAAATGTCTGGCATCAATGATTGTTTGCGCCGAAATCCTTGCTTCTCGATTTCTCTGTACAGGAATGCTGGGGGGTGCGCTATGCTTCCGTTGTAGCCACCAAAGACATATAGCGAGTTGTTGAAGACCTGTCACATCAAACTTGCAGCCGAACGAATCTCTAATGATGTTCAACTGACAATGTTAACAAAGATCGACATGTTCTAGTCTGCAGATTTTGAGGACGGTTCTTCAGAAGTTGTTCGAGAGCTTGAAGTTGTGTGCAAGACTGAAGTGTAAGACCTATAGGAGTGAATGTTGTGTTGTATGTGCGTATTAGCCAGCCTCAGCAACTAAAGACGATCTGCCGCTTGGTGGGTCCTCTGTGCTTAGCACAAACCTTGATTCGAATGCTTCTGATGCAAGCTTGGCTTGGCGTCATGTAAATGTAAATCATGGATTCTACAGGCCTTTTGTACGTCTTGCCAACCGCTGGCTCACAGCACGGGTGGCACGTAATGAATCCAAGATCCCTGCCATGTATGGCAATCGAATCGAAACTCGTAGAGGTCATTCAGCCTCTCCTGCATGAGTTGTCCACACATGGACAAGAGCAACACACAGGGTTATAAGATTTTATAAGGCTGTCAGAAAGCCGACATGGTTTAAGCATGTGTCAGTTCGTTAAGCGACAAGCATGAAAGCCATTAGGACAACGTCCTGTCCGCTGTATCCTCCGAACAGAAAAAGCGAATTGCCATAGACCTGAGGAGACTGGCATGCTGTTGCCGGCTGTTGCTCACATCTATCGAGCATCGATTGTGGCATGGCTCCATAGATCGCGTGACTCTGGGGTCCTTGCTACGCTGGCATGGAAGTAACGTGGAGACGGAACCTCCGCAGCGACTGGTGGGATCAGCTGGTTTATTTGTGGGGCAGTTGTGAAAGCTGGCTTTGACAATACCTCCCAACTCGTCACAGTCGGGAGCGATGAAAGCAGTCGACAGCCCAATCGTTCACGTGTTCCACAATACCCCTCCCCTCACCTTCCGCTCAATAACTTCCTATTTGACCAAGGTTTGCAGTTTGCAGTGATACATGTGGAAGTTTGGGCTTCTTTGATGAAGTGAAGAAGTGGGCTTCGTCATGTTTTCAGTTGCTCCATCCTCTTCCGTCAAACAAGCACTCTGCCGCAGCCTGGCCAGCTGATCTCACTGAAGACCAGGTCCTCCACACAGGCGGATCGAGGATCTTCTTTCAGTGGTTGCTATGCAGGGCTCCTCTTGAGGATTGTTTCAATGATGAGTATCCTAATTAAGCCATGAAACATCTGGGTGGTCCAAATGCATGCAGGCATGCAGCAGTACGGAACACTGTGATCCGAAATGATCGAAACAAACCCAAGCGAGGGAAACAGTCACGCAAACATGCCCCCCAAGCTCGGAAAGTAATTAACTTCCTATACTTATACCAAATGGCTGAAATGGCTGCAATGTTCGCTTTGGGGGAGCGCAAGCCTAATTACAAAACGAAGAATGAAACATGATTGTCTTCTTAGTTTTCTTGTTCAACCTCGCTGTGCTCTCGTATGATCAGAACCTAGAATTCTCAATGAGTCTTCCAACACCCAGGTTCTCCAATTCTCCTCGAAGCCATCCTGAATTGGTGGAAGTCGTTCATGCGATGCACACCTGCGGAACATTCCAAGGGCCATTTGAGACGGCAAGGAACATCGAGACATCGAGTATCTCGAGTATCTAGGAAAGCTCATGCAGCTCTTTACAAAGTCGGCTTTCTTTCAGGAACAAACAGTTCCTTGAAGTTTGTGAGCAGGGACTGCTCTTGCCAAGTCGCCATCATAGCCACCAAAAAGGTAGACGGAACCATTGTGAGTGGCCCAGGATGGACAGCTCCTCTCCCGACACAGTCGTCTGCCATATTTGGAAGGGTGACAGTACGGATTGCTTTTAACTTCTTGGCTTGGCCTTTGCTGTATTAGCGGTGCAATAGAAAGCAAAGCAGTTCAAGACTGTTTGAAATCCATGACTTTGCTATAAGTGGGCTATCTTCATGCCAATGGTTCTCCCCTGCCGCATCCAAGGCAGAAAAAACCCGTTGTTGCTTGCAATACGACGGGCTCCCTGCCAGGCTTGCCATGCACAACAGTCGTCGTCCAGCGTTTGGTCTCAGTTGGTCCTGCCCGATGGGATGAAACCCTGCACTTGGGTGGAGTACCACCTCAGTCATCTGCTTTTCCAAAGCGCCGATGGAAATTTGAAAAGCAGGAGTAGAAAGGCTGCCCTGTTCAGTAGATTTGAAGGCTGAATGGCATGCCATCATATGGCAGGTGGATCATGCAGGGCTTGGCAATGCAGAACAATGGAAGAGCAGGTAATAACGAGCTGAGCCAAAGACGCGCCACGCTCGAAGTCAAAGTCGAACATGTCGTTCAACCAAGCAGAGCCGTCGTAGCCTCCAAAGACGTACATGAAATCACCATGCCTCAGCGGAGATGAGGACAAAAAGGAATGAGGCTTCAGATTTCATATCTGCTTCAATAGACTTTGTTTGTGGATTTCACAAATGTCAAAATGCTTTCAAGTTCTCTGTAGAATTATGCCAAACGTCATCACACCTCCCAAACAGTTCCTGACACTGCCGAGACGTAGCCAAAGCGGGTCGAAGGCACGCTGCCCTTGTGCCCAGACCTCAAATGTGCCAAACCTTGCTGGTCTGCTTCCTTTTGCAACCTGCCAGTTTGTTTTGATGGAGTCTGAATGTTTGACAGCTTTTTGGATGATGTTTGCCTTTCCTAAAGATTGTATACATCCTCTGCAAGTCTTATCAGCGCCAAGAAGCGGCACAGCTTGCCACGTGCTGCTATCGAAATTGAAGCTGTGGAAGTCGTTAAGCCAAGTGAAGCCCGAGTAGCCGCCAAACCTTCACTCAGTCTCCATGTTGCACATACTGTCATGCAAGTGAACTTTGAGATTCTGGACAGTCAAGCAGCAAGTACATCTTGTTTCCATGCACGACGGCGCCGTTGTTCTCGCGACCAGCTGGAACCTTGTGCAAACGCATCCCTGCGAGTACAATTAGAGCAAAGACCAAAGGGAAGAGTGATATATCTGACATCATCTGACTCATATCTGCAGCTCAATATTGTCGCACACCCTTGCACAATGGGCAAGGTCACATGGTATGCCAAACAGCATGAAATAGCAACGATGGCAAACTGCAATCTCGTGATTGAAGGCAACGGTTCGATTTCAGCCAATGCTGCACTGCTTTCCTTCACTGGGTAGACTGCAGTGCCCTGGACCTCTAAGCGCGTCCAACACCTGGCACTTCAACTCAAAGGATAAATAAATCAGTGCAGGTGACGTAGAATCGAAGGCAAGGCTGTATCAGGGGGCCCAAACTGTTGATGTCTACAGTCTATCAAACAAGCAAGTGTTTGCAATATTTTGCAAGCGGCTGGGGAAAGGAAAGGCTACGCCTGGATGGAAAGTCGAAGCGGTAAATGTCGTCTAGCCGACCTTCCGCATCAGCTACTTGCGCTGTCGAGACAAGTTCTGATAGTTCATTCTGCACTGCAACATGCTACAAGTTTGCAGGCATCCTCACTGGCCCGCCAGTTGGTCCAATGTTCCATGAGTGGAGAACATGTAGCTGACAGTGATGTGACATTGATCAGATTTCGACCCACAAATCTTGCTCGCGCTCTTAGAAAAGGGCCACTTCCGCCGTAGCCTCCAAACACATACAGTGCATCCTGCAACAAACACTTGAAAGTACGACAGCCACGTGCTCTGCCAAAAGCAACAAACATGAGAAGAGAAAACACCGGCAGACGCCGGAAGACTCCTGGTAGATCACACTGGATGCACCGCTGCGCCTCGATCCGATTGACTGACACGAGCACTGGCGGACTGATGCGTGTACTGGGAATGACTGGGATGTATGCTGGAAAATATTCTTGGACTGGGATGTATCTGACAATCTGGAAACCTGCGTCATGCTAGTATATGCTAGTCAGCATGTTGTATCATCCATGGACCACTAGCGGCGGCCGCATCATATCCTGGTTTTCTTGAGGATCTGGCTCTCCAGGCTTCACTGGTGAATTTAGCTCAACTTCTCGCCACCTCGCAAACACATTGTGAGGGAATGCAAAGCTGAGCCACAGCAAGCACTTTGGTTATGCCCGATGCTGGGCATTGAGATGCTGGGCTCGACGTTTGGATTTGGTTAAAGGCAAATTCCCATGGAGAAGGGTGTATTCTTCTGGACTATGGAATATTGCCAAGCCCGTAAAAAGCACCGTCCAGCAAGCCCGCCTTCGGAGCGGACTCACGCTGCAGTCAGCACGGTCTTGGCTGTCCACCTGGTAGCTGTTCACGAAAAAGTCTATGAAGGATTTCAAAGATACACACTGGCACATGGGTGTGCTTTCGAATAGGGAGATCCCCAAATGCCCCTTGGTTGGAGGGCTCCCTGTATGATATATATATATATATATATATATTATTTGATTATATTTGTACATACATCCATGCCAGAAGGATCAAAAGGGCTACAGGATTGCTACTCTCGTCTCTAGTGCCTCTAGTACCGTTGGATGCCTTTTACTGGCTGTGCTTGGCTAACCTTCATGCTCCCCACTCTCTGTCATTTGCTTCAAGCGAACCTCTTGCAGTGGCCCTGCTGCCAAGAGCGAATCCATTGCCATCCGGGCAAAAGATTGAGAAAAGAAATATCATGTGCCGTCTGTGTCTGATTCATAAAGGCTTGTAGCAGCAAAAATTGTTGCAGCTTACGCGGTCACTCTCTGTGGTTCCCCTTAAGGCAAACAAGAAGCACAAGGACCAATTTCTTCATTGACAACTGCCATGCTTTGATTGAGTCCCAACAACAAATCATTGAGACAGCGGAAACTAACACCTCAAAAGTGATTGTCTTGACTAACATAAAACTGAACACCGCAATCGAGCTACTGAGAGCAGAAATGGCAAGACCAGTCTGACCGACTAAACGAAAAAAGAAACTAAGTATGACGTCACGTTTCCTCATGTCATGGCAATGTCACGTAAACATGCAGCACACCTTTCTTTGCCACGCGTTTCCATAAGCCATAGTTAGTCGCTATTTGCAATTTGCCAAGGGGAAGAAGCGGTAGTCGATGTAGCTTTGTGCGCCAGCTCAAGACCCAAAAACATCTCAGTTTAAGACAGCGTCCTGAACTCTTGACTGTTCACAGCTGCCTTCTTTGTTCGATCATGCTATTAATCTGGATTCAAAGGAATTTCTGTTGATTTGCATCTCTCAAGCTGTCTGGGGAAATCAACGCGGCAGCCTCTCAGAAATTGTCGACTCACCTGGCAAGTAGGTCCCATTCTTCCACAACAACTGCTTATAATATATGTTAATCATTGATTTGCATGCTTGCTCATTCTGTTGGCACCAGAACGTTCGTGACTTCAAAGTCTATTCCATAGAGCGCAGGAGATTGCCTCAAATAGTGGCTCTGGGTCTTTCCAGGCTTCACTGCTTGCACAGTGTCTTCTAATGGCTTGTGCACCTTGGTCAAAGCAGCGTTCTTGTCCAACTCGTCTCAACAAGCTGTCCTTTGGTCCGCACCATCGATGGAGCAAAGCCTTCGCCGTTTTTGTAGATCACCTCGCACTCATCCTCAGCGAAAGCAAGACGGAGCTCAAAAGAGTGTCGCTTAGTCCCGGTTATTATCCACCATATCCACCCCAATCTGTTTGACAACTTTACCCAAAAGGTTGTTTAGGACACTACTAGGGGCTCCTGGCCTTACTACTAGGAGCAAGAAGCTACTAGGGGCTCCTGGCCGTACTACTAGGAACAATGTTCGCTACTAGGAGTTGTCATCAATTACCCAAAAGCTTGAAACATCTGACCGTCTGACAGTCTCTTGTGTACGGAGCTGAGTCAACACCCATTTCAGCAAAATGGGTCGTGACCATTTCACCATCATTTTTCAGTCTCCTCGTTTTTAATGTTTGTTTTCATCGTTTTTCCTCCTGTGTGTGACAATGACTTGTCAAGTGCTGGCTCTCTGAAACTCTCTGAGACCTCTGACCGACTCTATGGTGTCAAAAATGCTCTCGATCAGCGGTTGAGGGTCTTGGACCCATGAAGCCAGGTCGCCTCAGCGTCGACGTGGCACCGCATCTCTTCAACCCATTGACTATTCTAATGCACTGCCATATCACTATTGTTTCACCCTAAGAGTCAACCTGTCCAAAATACCACTAGTATGCACTGGCCTTTAATCCTAGAACGCCTGAACAATAAAGACCAGGTTCTGACCGGCCTCCAACAAAGCCAATCGTCAAAAATGGAGCTTCAATTCTGGCAGACCTGCACGACAAATCACCATGCCACTGAGAGAGACCAATGCTAAAAAGTACACAACAGATTACTGGGTTGAGTGAAATGTGATGAAGTGCGTGAAATGGATTCCGAGTGGTTGCAGCATCAACCCAGGTACAAAGAAGACTCTGCAAGACCAAGCATGAACTAGCAGTAACAAGCTACTAGTAGTAAGGCACCTTGCTACTAATAGCTTCTTGTTACTTTCTAGTAGTATTGCCACGAGCTACTAGTAGCTTCTTGTTCCTAGTAGCGATGTACCTGTTCCTAGTGGCAGATTGAAACTGGGCCGTGCCTCAACAAGCCCAAGGTGACCGAGTGCATCTCCACAGTTCGAGCAGAAGTGTCTGTCCAGTCGAAAAAGGACCTGAAATCACCCCGAGACCGGAGAAAACACTCCAAGCACACGATACATAAACAAAGCCACCAAACATCACCAAGCCCTATTGTTCTTGTCCTATTTACGCTCTTGTCCTTTCTGTCCTTCCAACTCTGTCCAATTTCTTTCCAGTGCCTCTGAAAAGGGCTTGATGGACCTGTTTGGAACCTGCTCACCTCCAACTTGCTGGGAGTCCGGGCTCCCCAAACTGCACGAAGACGAGCTTCCGCAGGTTGGCCGTGGCCCTGGGAAAGACTGGGAACCTATGAACATGCACTCGCGCGGAATGTTGGACCCTGTTTGTCTATTGTCTCTTCACCAAAATACTCCTTGTTCAAGCCACAGCACACCACTGATTTAGATAGATTTGGGCTCCCCTCTGACTCTAAACTGTAATCTGCTCACTGGTTGACCATAGTCACACAGTCTCATACATAGATCCTCAGGGAAAGCTTTTGTCTCTGGGGCATATCAGCCTTTCAGCAACCTATGTACACTCTGGGATCCGGACACTCCCCCAATAGTGTGTTGGACGTTCATCATGGAGCTAGACTAAGTCAACAACATTGAGTGACAATGTTCCACTACTACAATCGTCAGAATGATTTCTTGAATTGGAAAATCCTTTCTTGACTCATGTTGCAAGAGACCTGGTCGAATATCAAACTCAAGCAAACCACACCACTATTGAAGAACCACGAGTAAGGAAATGCCGCCCCATTGGTCGCCGGCATAGTTCATCGCATGGTCCTGTGTTGTCATGAAGACCATCATGTGCTCATTCCTGCTCAGATCGAAAGACATCACTTATCTTCGTCAATTGGTTGGAATGCCATCAATATTGATAGTTGATGTCCTCTCAGACGCTTCATTGGAACGCAGCCCCACAGACGTAGGCACGGCATGATGCTTGTAGCCTGAAAAACAGCGCGTCTTGACTCAAGCGACCTGACTCGTACAAGAATGACTCATGAACCTAGACACAGATTGAACCTGCACGACTTTTTGCACTCAAACAACACGCAGTGGCAGGCTGCATTCGTTTCCGCTCATGAAACAGTACAGCTTTCCAAGAGCCGGCCAGAACGCAGCATAAGCATGTCATACTGGCCGCGTGGCCTTTGTTTGGGCTGTTCAAGGAGCAGTGCGCCAATATGATGTCATGCATCAACACAAATCTGTTATGCTTAAGTACATCTCATTACAGCAATGAAACCGCAGTGTAGCACACAATCATATCATAAACCATCATAAACTAGCCAAGCATGCTCAGAACCATTTCCAACAAGTCATGGTCAGAATGCATCGACTGGAGTACTTACCCTGTATTTCCCTCATAAGGCTTTTGTTGGCACTTGATCTGTCACCTTTGCCCCTTTTTGTCGAACGCTCACATTTCCCTAAGCTCCCTTATGCCTTTTGCCGGATGTGATTTGTCAGCTCTCTTCAATGAGTTCCTTACTTGTTGTTGCCGACACCTCGGTCCTTTGTTGGTTGCCACACCACAGTGTAGCAAAAGCCAGCCTGAAGATCACCGCAAATTCTTCTGGGTCACTCAGTCTGCTTCTGTCCCAATCAAAAATATTGGCACATGGATGCACATGGCAAACCAACTGAGAGCGCAGCGACTGGGTTTCTCCAAGCAAACTTATTCTTGTCCAACCTAATTGCAGCCATGCTCCAATTGATCTGCCCACACACACACATATTCACAAAAAAAGGCCATCTCAGGATAGAGGATCTCAGGACCTATCATATCGTTCAAAAGGATCTTTGGATTTCTTTGGTCTCCGCACTGTTTGCTGTCTGGCACCACTTCCTCTAGCTTTAGTGGTTTCGTGCTTGGCTTCGGAGGTAAAGCATTCTTGGAGCTGGAGTAAGCACCACCTGGCCAAGCGTGGCAAGCGCTCTCTTAGTCAGGGGAACGGCATTCCAACACCGTTGATGTTGCTTATGCAACCAAATCAATCATCGCTCACATCAATCTGGCCAAACTGTCCGTGACCCACGAGATGATCAACTGCAATGCAATGTTGCGTAATTTTAGGGCACGCACTCAGCACAGATGCGAAAATCTCTTCAGGATCACCACTCGCCTGGCTTGAGCAGAAGAGTCGATCAAGTATCTTGGTATTGACTCTTAGTTGTTGCATTCAGTTGAGACCTGCGAATGGAAGAACATGAAATGAGTGAACCGAATGTGAAAAATCTGCAAAAGCGATTACACACTCCTGCTTCTCAAGGATTGCCTCCACTACATCTGGGTGAACACCGTTGAAAAGCAGTGCACGTGCCACAAGCTGCAAAGCGTTCGCCTGAGGCTTCTGTAACAGAACAAGTGTTTCACAAGGAAGTCCTTGCAGGATATTTCGACATCTTGAAAAGATTTGATGAGAGCGTCCTGCCTGTCCCTGTGGGTCGTTTTCTCTGCGGAAAAGTGAGTGAGCATCCTTCAAGGAAAGAAACAACAACCGGCGGCAGGACGCACAAAGCAAACTTGACACCAGGCACTGCCGTTGCCTTAGCAGCTCGCAGCGCTTCAATGGTGTCATCCTTGTCAGCTATTGCGCAACCACTCAGCTTCCTGCCTGTACCAAGAAACGTCGAATCGACAAAATTCAGAACGTTCCAAACAGGAGATATTTGGACAATAATCAACATGTTATGACAAGTGCCAAGACTTCGTGTATAGGATGGATGTATCAGAATCCTCATGTATCCATACACAAGGAATGTGTGTGTGTCTTATGCGTTCAAGCTTGCATCGCGGGAAGCTTCAGATCTGGTTGGTACACTCAGTGTTCGACTCAGGCGCGAAAGGTGCGCTTTTGATAGCCGAAGAAGTGCTTGTGCCTGAGCCAAGTGGCAAAACCAAATTATGCCAGCACTGCGTTGATCCCATTCTTAACGATGTACCGTTGCAGCATATGAAACAGCATCCAAGGTCCAAGGCCTCTTGGGGTGGTGATGAGAGCTCCTTCACCAGCTTCAAATGCTCTTGCCATGAAATGATAGCCTGAAGGACCAAACGCTGACAGCTGCTCATGAAGCTGTCTACGCATTGATTGTACGCATTGACCAATTTGAGGGCTGAAAGTAAGTCCCTCTCGAAGGAAAATGTACAACTATCATTGACCGCTTGCAAGGGTGTGCTGCTTTACAGGGTAGCCTATTCAAATTCTGTTTGCAAACGAAATCTCTTGGCAACTCTAACGATGCGAAAAATAGACATAATTATACCGGCATAGACCCCAGATAGCACTTCAAGAAAAGTTGGATAGCATGGCAAGAGCGGGAGACAAGCTTGGGAGATATCCCACTCAAAGCCGGAAAAAGGATGAAAACGCGTAAACAAGACCTAAATCATCTTATAACAGCATCCGCGTCAAAGGCAGGCAAGAAAATGACAAGGCGGCGGCGGCAGCCAAGAGCGAAACAAGGAATAGAGAATAGAGACAAGCTTGAGAAACAAAACGGCAGCGGCAGCCAAGAGCGAAGTCATGAAGGGAGACAAGCTTGAGAGACCAGGCGGCAGCGGCAGCCAAAAGCGAAATCATGAAGGGAAACCAGCTTGGGAGACAAGGCGGCAGCAGCAGCCAAGAGTGAAATCATGAAGGGAGACAAGCTTGGGAGACAAGCTGGCAGCGGCAGCCAAGAGCGAAATCATGAAGGGAGCCAAGCTTCACAGACAAGGCAGCAGCGGCAGCCAAAAGCGAAATCATGAAGGGAGCCAAGCTTGGGAGACAAGGCGGCAGCGGCAGCCAAAAGCGAAATCATGAAGAGAGACAAGCTTCGGAGTCAAGGCGGCAGCGGCAGCCAAAACCGAAATCATGAAGGGAGACAAGCTTGGGAGAAAAGGCGGCAGAGGCAGCCAAGAGCAAAATCATGAAGGAAGACAAGCTTCACAGACAAGGCGGCAGCGGCAGCCAAGAGCGAAATCATGAAGGAAGATAAGCTTCACAGACAAGGCGGCAGCGGCAGCCAAGCACGAAATCATGAAGGGAGACAAGCTTGGGAGACAAGGCGGCAGCGGCAGCCAAAAGCGAAGTCATGAAGCGAGACAAGCTTGGGAGACAAGGCGGCAGCGGCAGCCAAAAGCGAAATAATGAAGGGAGACAAGCTTGGGAGACAAGGCGGCAGTGGCAGCCAAATGCGAAATCATGAAGGGAGACAAGCTTGGGAGACAAGGCGGCAGCGGCAGCCAAGAGCGAAATCATGAAGGGAGACAAGCTTGGAAGACAAGCCAGCAGAGGCAGCCAAGAGCGAAATCATGAAGGGAAAAAAGCTTCGCAGACAAGGCGGCAGCGGCAGCCAAAAGCGAAGTCATGAAGGGAGACAAGCTTAGGAGACAAGGCGGCAGCGGCAGCCAAGAGCAAAATCATGAAGGGAGACAAGCTTGGAAGACAAGCCGGCAGAGGCAGCCAAGAGCGAAATCATGAAGGGAGACAAGCTTGGGAGACAAGGCGGCAGCGGCAGCCAAAAGCGAAATCATGAAGGGAGACAAGCTTCGGAGTCAAGGCGGCAGCGGCAGCCAAGAGCGAAATCATGACGGGAGACAAGCTTGGGAAACAAGGCGGCACCGGCAGCGGCAGCCAATTTCCGCGATAAGGAACCCATCCACTGAGAAGTAAGAACCCCTATAGCTTCGCTATCTGGGGAAAAATACTATCTAAGATGTACCAAGATAGAGATTGGACCGGTTCCTCACGGAACCTGAAAGGACATAGGAATGCTTGTTGGGGTGAAGAAACTCTCCAGGGTCTCTTTGTTGAAACATTTACTTCCACAAAGGCCATCCACTGAAACAAGGCGTTGAGGATCAAAGCACACAGTTTCTGTTTCTGTTTTCACTGAACATCATTCCCCCCCCACACACCTCACCCCCAACCCATCCACCAGTTATTGATACGCAGCGGTTTCTAATTTCCCTTGTTTAGCTTCTATATCGAAATTGCTTGAAGGAGTGGCCTTGTCCAAGTCAAAGTCAGTTGCTGCAGTGGCAAGAGCCTTCCAAGCACTTGCCTGCCATGCTGCCACACTTTGCCGTCGACTCTGTGAGGCAGTTGTTTCACTAGGAGTTATGAGTTGGGCTGGCATGATGGGGCATCCTTCCCCATTACTTGAGGATGAAAGATGAAAGCTTGTGATATGTGTTTCTTGCCAACATCCTTTACATACATTTTCATACACTCTGGATCACTGTCATTGTCTTCAACCCCCATGCAGGATTCAATTGTAAACATATGCTCACTATGCACAGGATAACAATGTGATCTTCGTCCGTGCAAATCATGTGTGAGTTATCCACCATATTTGCCAGTTGGCCGAATCTGGTCGGACCACTGCTGTTGCTGAACTGGTGCCGCATAAAGCGCAGGAATAGATTTGTAACTGTCCAACCAATCAAGGCCCTTTGTTCAACAATTCAACAATTTGTTTCTCGAACACAAGGTATATTCACGTGTATTCGATTGGTCTGTTCATGTTCAAACAACCTCGCCTGCTGTGATTTATCGCCTGAGAGGCGTGCTAAGCGCAATGCCTCTTTGCCCGCAGCAGCGGCCTGCCGCTAGGACTCGCAGCGGAAATCTTGGAAGCACATGGAAGCATGCCTCTGTAAAACCAATCAAGGCAAAGAGCACGCAAAAACCATTCAGGCGTCCCAACTTTTTCTGAACAAATGGTCGGTCAGGAGTTTGCCACACGTCCTCAAAAAAAGCATGCCAGAAGCCTCCTGGTAGCGCTGGGTCTGCGTGCAGACCTTCCAACATGGTCTTTGAGGTCAACGTTGGTATAATTTGGGTCTATCCTGTTACCAGTAACAGTGGATGATGACCATGATGATGATGATGATGATGATGATGATGATGATGATGATGATGATGGTTACTACTTAAAGGCCAAGCCCAAGGGAGAATGGTCACAGTAGCACCGGTGCCGGAGGTCTTTCTCCAAAGCCTCTCTTTTTGGCGGCCACCAATCCGTATGCCGGATGAACTCTGTGCCTGTGTCTGCGTATGTAGAATTTGCGGCAACTTCCTGTGATAAGACAACTTCGATTTGGGCATGGACTTTCCTGGAATTCCTTGAAACTTCCCCGTAGAACAGCTCTATCAGATTCTATCAGTATAATCTTGAAGGAGCACCCACTGACCACGCCTGTGCAACTAAAAGCTGGGCCTTGGCTTCCGCCTGCGGGTCCTAAGGCAGCACGTTCGGGAGCCAAACCAACCCCCTGAACACTCCCACAAAGGACAGCAAGACAGAACAAATGGCAGTGTAAGTTGAAATATATAAAATGTGGTCTTGCACTCGATTTGCAGGTGAATGCCAAGACTTATTGAAGGCTCATTTGTTGATGCACTGGAGCATTGTGACGACTTTGACTTTGAAGCGTGTCTGCAAGAATTGTGGTCATCAATGTTCACACGATTTCACCTGTTTGCTCGTGAAGCTTGTCTAAAGTCTCTCTTTTGTCCCCTTTGTAAGCTGCGAACGTTTAGAGCCTTAAACAGTCCCACTGCCTGTGCCAAACTGTGACCAGTCAAACAGCAGTCTCAGTGCAATCCACGCACGTTAACCAAACAACACTTGTTCAAAGTGGTATTGTGTCTTTCCTTGGAGAAAAAACAGACTTGAAATGAGCCTCAAGAGCGGCAGCCCGCGCTTCGGGTCGTTTCTGCTGGTGCAGATAGATGTCAATCCTTGGCAACTCAAGAAAGGCACTAATGACAATATGTCAGAATCATTGCACATGGGGTATATATTAGAATGCGGAGAACCATCAAAACCTCTGGGAAATAAGAAACAGACTAAATCCATTCAGGACTGTCCATTGGTTGGGCGGTCCCCCAATTTAAATACAAACCCTAACATCAAACTCAATTAAAACGTCTTTCATCTTCAGACTCTCATTGCCTAATCCAATCCAACATGTTTACAGCACCAACGGCCAATTCACGTGGCTCTTTTTTTCAGCCATGTGTCTTAGCACTCATGGCCTCACTTTGCATCTGCTGATTGCCGGCCTTTTGAAACCTCAGTGACGGCGTTCCGATGCTCTGGTAGTGATGCCCTTGTTACTAGTAGCGTCCTTGCTACTAGTAGTACGGGCCTCCACCCCTACTAGCGATGGCCTCCAACCTAGTGGCTAGTAGTAATGCTCTTGTTACTAGTAGCGATGCCCTTGTTACTACAGTAGTAGATTTTCTCAAACATAATCAATCCAATTGTGGCAGTCGATCGAGCTCGAGTCCAAGGAGACAGCAAAATTGGTTGAGTTTTGCACCCACTCAGCGCCAGCTCAGCACTTGCAAGAGCATCCTCATACTTGCCCTGCCAGGGTATGGCACTCGAGTGAATGTCGGCTTTCAGCCCAAGAACAAGTTGAAGATATTTTCTCCTCAGCTAAGAGAGACTTGGCGGTGGCGAGGGCGGAAGCGGCATCCTCAGCTTACGCTTTGGATCGGATGTCAAAGAGCGTCTTCTACCCAAGTTCAACAGTAAGCTGTTTGGAGGCCTAAAATACGCCAATCCATGCCAATCCCATAAACACCATGTACTGTGCTTCCAGAATGGGCAATGTCTTCGAATGTATCTAGGAGCCCTGCCGCCATCGGTGCGGAGCTTCCGAAAGAGTACTACGAGGGAAACCCTAGAGCTCAAGGTCAAGTTGCGAGGTCTGTGGGTGTGATATGCGAGAGAGGCTTTTGTGAGGCTTTAGGCATGTGGGCCACGAAGGTTAAGATTGGCTTATCATCCCAACCTGATGAGGTCAAGTCAGTATGTGAAAGACCTTGAGTTCAATATATTTCAGGATGAACCCAAGTACAAGTAGCGGCAGCAAGCCTGGCAACAAGGTTTGGCCAACGTGCATGGCTCAACTGCATGCTTGCATGACTCTTTTGCACGGTTCACAAGCGAGGTCTTGCCAGTCGTAACGAGGATTCCTGTCTCAAACCAACAGCTTCTCTTGGCTTCTGGCCCAAACAATCCGACTGGAATCTTAACACAACTGCCCAAACCTATGCTTGGAGGGTTCATTGACATGGCTCATCCCGAGCAACGTGTAGTGTAGAAGCATCTATGCTTTGTCACTGTCTGAGGTTGGACAATTGCTGGACTGAGCATTGAGTGCGATTTCAAACAGTGGGCAGTGAGTAGCTTCTCTGATTCCAAACCTCTGCCAGTGGTGCAAAGAAAGAACATCATTGGCAAAAGGACCCCGTTACTGACTTTACATTAGCAGTGAAACACTTCCCGTGAAAGTTTCTGGTTGCTTGTTGCTTAGGTGAGCTTTTTGTGCCCTGCTCTGAGGCAAAGGGCAACGTTTGAAACATTTGAGACATTGAGGAAAAACCTCAAAAAGCAAATGCTCAGGGAGTACACAGTGCAGGTCCGCTTGCTGAGCGTCCTTCTTCGTGGCTATGTATTTGAGTCTGAGTAATTTCGCTCGTGCTGGTCCGATTCTGCTTTGCCAGACCTCGTCGATCACAGAATTCTCAACACTGGCGCACAGCCTCACTTGCGACTCGCTCTGAGCTGATGACCAGCACGGACAAGCTCATCCAGCCGGGAAACTGCCGCGCCGACCCTCGGAGGGAAGGCTCATTGACAGACTGGCAAAATGCTAGCTTCTAGCATCGATCATGGAAAGGAGATGAAAGGAGCATGTGGGTGCGATCTTCGGACAAAAGCACATGCCCAAACCGAATAGTGCAGCGACACTGTGCCTCTGCAAACCAGTCCGGCAAGCAACGGAAAGCGAGAAGCGAGCGGGCGCGGTTCTTCTAAATGGCCAAGTTCACTAATGGTGTGCTTTGTTTCCCTCTCTTCTGTGCTCTTTGTGCGTCAGGTGCTTTCCATCCTTTTTGGGTTACTCTTGGTTCTTTGTCTTTGCGAGCCTTGTTGCTAAAAAAATTGGCTTTGAGCCTCAATGTGATTTTAGACTGTTGGTTCTTTGTCTTTGTGAGCCTTGTTGCGACAAAAACTGGTTGCTCTAGGCCCCAATGTGATTTTCGTGTTGTTGGCTTCGTATTTTTGGTTTTCCTGGTTGGTTTTCCTATGGGCTTTCCATGTCTCTTAAGTTGGCTTGCCTTGTTTTCGCCTCTTCTCAGGTAGATTAGCCTTGATCCAGTGCATTGTCTGCCCAAAAGCGTAGTTTCATACTTTTGGGGTTGCCGTGTCAATTTTCCCAGGTGCTTTCGATTCTTTTCAAAAGGGTTTGCCTTGCTTGTGTCCATTCTGTGCTCTTTGTGTCTTCTT